TATAAAAAATATATAAATTTTATGTATTAATTAAATTTCACATATGAATATAGGTTTTTGACATTTTCGACATTTTTGACAGTGAGGTTTTTGACGTGACGGTTTAAACCATGGTTTAAACCGTCAAAAACTGTCACATGTCAAAAACCTGCCAACCCTGACTAGCAGACATCTTACTGTAGTATTGAATAAGACTTGACACTATTTTCTTGAATTTGTCATTGAATTAAATCATTAATTTGAATTACTAATTTATTTCAAACTTGTCATTTGAAAATATCACTGTTTTATCTGCTTTTCTTATCAAAATGCAAAATTCATAGAAATGCAATGATTAAATCTTATTAAAATTTTCACTTTATTTTTAAGTAGTATTTGCCGATTTCCTTTAAACATCATATATCTTGTTCTAAACTTATTGTATCTATGGCAAACTTATTCAGAGTGTTTAAATAATTATGTTTTAAAAAATATAAAGACCATTACAATTTTTTTTATATGCTGTTGCTATATTTCCTGAATAAAAGCAACCTCTATTTTTTAAATCTAAATTGTTGTATTTTGTATGCATTCGATTTATAAGTTTTTACTTAATTTAATTCTTGTTATAAGTAGAGTTTTTTTACTTCATATTGTTATACTCTAGTTTACATTAAAATAGCCAATTTTAATATATCTTTTCTTATTAACAATTTTTAAATAAATCCTTTAAAAAATTTTACAATTCCCCCCTCCCTTTTTTTTTTGGTGCATGCATTAACTTGGAAAAAAAAAACTATTTAAAAATCTACATAAATAGCATAAGAAAAATTTCAATACTTCTCTTTAAAGGACAAATGAATTACATTAAAAAATCAAACTTTAAGTGTCAAAATATTTAATTAATTTAAAATTTGAATTTAAATTAATTTATTAATTGAATTATTTGAATTAATTTAAAGGAACTTTTTCTAAAACAAAATATGTTCAAAACAATTATTTATTTGAAAAAAAAAAATAATATACAGTGGTGGCCAAAAGTGTGGACACTTTTTGAAAAACCTTTATTATTTATCATAATAAGAATTCACACTGTAAGAAAAATAGAAGGGAGGTTTGTGTCACATTTATGGGCAGATGACGTAGCATAAAATAAGTTAATGCCCCTAACGCTAACAGACTTTTTAGCTTCTGCCTTTAAAATCTACATTTCCATATAGTCCTTGGTTTTATAATATATATATTATAAAGTCAGGATATAGTTTTGGAGAAGGAAATTTAATTTTTAAACTTATTGTTTATTGAATAGAAAATTAAACTAATGAATTTTATTGCTATAAATAATAGAAATATTAACTGTTATTTTATGCTAAATCTTTAATAAAAGTTAGAATTTCAATAATTTTATGAAAATTTTCATTTCCTTACCTAAAGGATAATTTCTTGCAATAGTATAATCAATCATAAAATGTGTACCAATCAATTGAACTCAACTGTGACTAACAGACAAGTAATTCAATAAAATTGGCTGGTGTTTCCCAAAAACTGTTCCCAATTTTAAAAACTAATATTAAAAAAAAATAGAATGAGATAGAAATGTGTGTTTTACTTTTGATACCAGTTAATTTAATTTCTCCATCAAAATTAGTAATAAAGTTTGTTTGCAAATGGCACTGTTACAAAGCAGTGTTTCCTTCCCTTAATGTAGCATCAAATTAGCAAAAAAATTTGGCAGAAAATTACTCTTGCAAAGGACCGTTTTACAAAAATATCACCCTTAACAATGTGGCATAATTTAATGTTTTTTAGTTTTTCTAATTCGTAGCAAAATCTCATGAAGAACTTTGACTCTAGTTTTGAAATTTAATGGGAAAAAAACTGTTTTCCTCTGCAGAAGCTAGGGTATAATATTACGAATTATTTATATGTATTTTAAACAATATTTCAGATACTATTCAAAATGGATAATTGCGGTGGTGGAATGTTGTTTGAAAAAGAAAATCTCAACAAATCGTTTGGTAGTAATGCTTCCAAATATAGTTTTGAAAAGTTTCGTTACATGTGTATTCTCTCTGGGTGTGATTATTTACCTTCTCTGCCTGGTATTGGACTTGCTAAAGCATTCAAGTTCTTTTCTTTAACTACCAATACAGATTTAACTGTTGTAAGTATGCATGTTTATTTTGTCTTTGTTTGCTGCATGTAACAATGCGTATAATAGTTAATAATGTATCAATCAAAATTTTACAAATTGTACTGAAAATTTTAAAGGTGTTTCACAGCTATTAAAAGATATAAAACATAATGTAGTCTTACTTAATATGTAACTGGTGTCAGTCATAATTAGTAAAGGTCACTTTTGGTATTGTTCTAAAATACAAGTTGTTTCAGTTGTGTAAAATAATAGAAAAGATTTTTTTGCTGAACTTTTAATTGTGCTCAAATGAGGTACAGAAAAAAAAATATTTATTATCTATACATAATTTATAAGAAATTGATGTATCAAATAATAAAATGTAGACTTGGAAATAACCACAAAAGTGATGAATTAGCGAAACAAATTAGTGAGTCAACAAAAAAGATTGGTGACTTAAGATAAATGAACAACCATCCACTTTTTTAAATTTTTTTTTAATTGTTTGATGATAAAAAATACATCAATGCCTCCCCAAGTATTTCGAAGTTGTAATGTATGCATCAAATGTATTTTGCCTCCCCAAGTATTTTTAATAAAGTTCTTTAAAGTCAGTATGCTAATCCTAGTTAACTTAATTTTGTCACACATTTATATTTTTATTGCTGAATTAACTTTTTATAGCTGTTGATAATTTCTAATGATTTTTTTTAAGAATGTCACTTAATTTAAGTAACAAAAGTAAAGTTTGGAAAAAGCTGGCTATTAAATTATAGAAATCTAGCGGCTTCTGGCTATTTACCAAAAATTCAGGTCTATGAGTCAGGTCTAAATTTTCAGATCTAGGAAAAAACAAATCAGTCCAAAATTAGAGTTTAATTTATTTTCTATTTAAAAACAATATAGTAACAGTTTTTTTTTTATTAATTTTTTTTCCTTGCTGACACAATGATAATTTTATATACATGTCAAGATTTAGGCAAAAATTGTTTATTTCTGAAAATGAGCCTCTAACTTTTCATCTTTTTTAATCTATTTTTTTAAGCCCTGTATCTTAAAGAATTCGCATTTTTTATTTAATATGCTATAATGTTACTTAATAAAGCTATATTTATTGATTTTATATTATGTTCATGTCACAATGCCTAACTTTGAACAAATTTTTACCCTTTCTCTAAAATTATAACATTCTTTTTTAAAAAAGAAAAAAAATTGTATCTTTTGTTATTATGTATGTTTTTACTTTTTTTTAAACAAACATTTACAAAATGTTGAAATGTGCATCATAGAAAAATGATAAAAAAAAGTATTGATTTTTTCAAAATTTGTTACTTTTTTTTTACGAAAAATTTTGTCCTTGTTGGGCATTTTATAGGTCACACTCAATAAATCTTTGTTTTTTTTTTCCTTAGCTCTTTAATCCTAGTTTTGAAATATTTACATTCATACTATGTGTGATAATGAATATTGATAATTAAAAATTTATTTGTGTTTGATTCGCTGAAATTGCTTTTTAANTGTGTAGGGGAGAAACATTCTCCCAATTTTGCCCATTTCCTTAACCGCCAGTGGGTTAATCCTAGTTTTGAAATATTTACATTCATACTATGTGTGATAATGAATATTGATAATTAAAAAAATTTTTGTGTTTGATTCGCTGAAATTGCTTTTTAATGTTATTCTGTTAAAATGCACTAAAATATGCTTTTAATATTTAGATATTATCTAAATTGCCCAGTTATCTGAGGATGCCCAAACTATCAGTGTCTGAAGATTATAAAGACTCTTTCATCAAAGCTGATAACACATTTTTGTACCAGTTAGTTTTCTGTCCTAGAAAAAAGTGTCTTGTTCCTCTTAATCCGTATCCAGAAGGAGTAAACCCTGATGATATGGAATATGCTGGAAAGTATCCTTCTACTGTTAATTTGATATAAAACTTGCAATATTGCCTTCCAAAATTGTGTTTTATATTTGATTTGATTGATTATTTGATTTTAATGTATTCTTATATTAGCAAATAGTAAGTTTAATTAAATTAGTAATAGTAATTAAATTTTTTTGTCATTAAATGGACTTTACCTTGTGATTTGTTTTTTTTTTTATCCAGTTGAATGTAATTTTTCTTCAACATATTTTCATATCAAACATCGATGTTGCAATATCAAACATTGATGTTGTAATATCAAACATCGATTTTCGTATTTATACTCTCTTTGAAAACTACTCGTTACGATTCGTGTTCATGTGACCATGTCAAGTGCGAATCATTGATGCTACTGAAAAAAAATTAATTCAAGTATGAGTGGTTAATTATAACAGTCAAAGTGACCAAAATTGTCAGTAAGAATCTATCAGAAGATATTGAGGTGAAAGTTGGCAACTGATTCAATTTAAAATGGTTGACCCGTAATAAATTTAAAATGATAATTAAGCCACAACATCCAATAATTGATTAATTTTCTTTAATAGAAAAGTGGTCAAAATTTCAAAATTATATTTAAGAATAATTTAAATTTCACTGTCTAAATGCTTCTTCCAATTTAAATATTAAATAAAAATCTCCCGGCAGAGTTGTTTTTAAATGTCTAATTGATATCACAGTATTATATAGAACATCCCCCCCCCTCCCGTCCTGCCCGAATTTTTGCTTATTCAAAGGTTGTATACCTAGCTTAAAATAGGCCTTGTGCAAAATTCAAATCTGACGTTTTTATGAATCATGAATTTTATTCTTGACTTGATGCCAATCACCCTTGCTTTTTTTAAACTTAGATCACTTTTTGAAATCAAAAGAGCAATGGAAGTCTTATTTTTCAGTACTGCTATTACCGTCAACTAACTATTATCATCAAAACATTTTAGTTTAAAATGTAAAAATTTTGTCTATCTTTTACTAAAACTTAAGTCCTTGAGAATTTTATAATAAGTCTTAAAAAGTCCTTGAAAAGTACTTGAATTTTATTTCTAAAGTAGGGCATGAACCCTGTATATAGTTTTTGAAAATTCTCCAAAATTAGGAAAGATTTCCCACACACATACATATATATATATGTGTGTGTTACGGACTGGAAGTGTCGAGGATTAGCTTCAAAGTAATCTAGGAGAGTTATATTTCAAATCTAATAAAATATGGAAAAATCATTAAAATCAAATAAGGAAACACAAAACAATTATAGTTAGAACATCTTTCGGAGCTCTCTCCCTGTTGCCGACTCGTGAGAGAGTGTGTGAAGAGAGCATGTTCTACTATAGATGGCGCTGCATGGCATATTCAACATATATATATATACACAGGATAAAAAGATAAAAAACAAAGAAAATTAATAAGTTTTATTTACTGTGCATAAGCTGCAAATATATAGAACTCATGAAATAAGTTTCAAATATAAAGAAAGCATGGAAATAAAGATAACTTTATCTTCAATCAATCTTTATTATTCTTCATGTTTTCTCTATATTTTTAACTTATATATATATCTAAATCACTATTTTCTTCCACGTAATCTGAAAATGAAATCAAGCTTTATTTATTAAGTAATTATTTTTTTTATGTTTGAAGGAATTCTTGTCTGTTTAATTAGTCTAATTTATTAGCAAATTATGTACTATCCCAATTATTATTTTTAACTATACTACTCTCACATGCTATTATTTGTAGTGGACTTATTGCTGGGATCTCAGATAGTTCGCTATATTAGGTTTTGACTATTATTCTAAAAATGAAAAAACTCCTACATTTACTTGAATCAGACAATTGTTCTAAACTTCCGAAGGACTTCCATGTCTCATATTAAATGATAAAAAATTGACAAAATCGTGTTAAAAAAACCTTTTAAATATATTTATAACTACGATAAATAGAATATAAAAGTCCTAAGTGCATGTATTCCTCCTTTCTATTCTAAAAAGCCTCATTTATTGAACTTTACAACTGAAATTTAGATTTATTTTTAGAAGTTAATATCGTAATTTGTTGTGTTTACTTCTAGCATAGTGCAAGTATGTTCTTTAACGTATTTTAGATATCTTGACAATGATTTAGCTTACCAATTGGCTATGGGGGACATCAATGTCAAGACTTTCAAAAAGTACGATTCAAATGATATTCAGAACTGGTCCGACTCCCACACAAATAAAAGTGGATTATGGAGTCCACTGAATAATTCAGCGATTACCAAGACACCTAAGAAAGGAATAGCTTTTAAATTTAGTACCCCAAAGAGAAAGGCTGGAGATGTTCACAAACATAAATCTTTTGAACAAGGTAAATTATATGAAATATAGTTTATTGTTCTTGTCAATGTGATAAGCATTTTTTTTTTTTAAATTATCTAATTATGCTAGTATTTCTTTTCAGTGCTTGATTCTGTTGTTATTACCAAAGAAATTATTTTATGTATACAGCTTTTATAATATTTTATTTAGTCTTTTTATTGACTAAATTGCTTATTTGAATTAAAAAAGTAGATAAAGATCTGTATAAAAATTTTTACCCTTACTAATTAGCATCAGTTTATAGGTAAAAATCACAAAAAAAGGCCATTAAATATCATTTAAAAGAATAGAATCTCAGGGGCGACTGTTCAAGTAATGTTTTTACTTGCTCTAAAGTAATAAAGGTGCTTTCTTCTTTCTGAAAAAAATTAGTTATTCGAAAATTAAATTTTTTTCCCTTCATCGCTTATTTTTAAGTATCGCTTATATATTATATATATTAAAATATCGCTTATTTTTAAGTATTAAATTTAAAGGGAGAATATGATTGAAAACTTTTTCTTCAATTACTTTGCGAACCCTAATGATATTGGTATCCTTGTTTTAATTTTTTGAAAACTGACTGCAAAATTAACTAGAAATAGTCTGGAAAACAATATTCCACTTTCCCTAAGCTTCTTGAATGTGCTGAAATATAATTCATTAATATAAAAATATTCACTCAAGTTAGTCTAAAAATTGGTTTTTAATGTGTGATGATTTCAAGTATATTTTATGAACTTGTATCCTTTTGTAGTACACAACAAATTATTTTTGAACTTTTAAATACTACTAATATTTCTCATTATTTAGATATCTATTATTGATATATTGAAAATTTGTTGTTGCCTTATGCCACATGCCAATTCTGACAAGCCTATTTTAAGGCAAGATGAGTGCACTTCTTGTTTTCCTCCAAGAAATGTTGCACCCATATGCCACATCGCGTTTTACAGGCAGGACACACATTCACACACTATCCTTCCATCTGCAGATCGTAATTTTGACCTGAACCAAAGCATGAGCAATCTCTAATCCAGTACCCCCAGAGCTATTGATTTGTTATGGGAACAACTTGGGAGTCTTTGGTCAATGGGGCTCTAACTCACGACCTCTTGGATATGGGCCTAATGCCCTACCAGCCAGGCTCTTGGCCACTGAAAATTTGTATGAACAAATTGGAAATATTATTTTAATATTACTGTCAAACTCTCTTGCAAGGGAGAGATTTGTTTATTATAAAAAAACGGGGGCAAGAGATATTAGAAATAAGAATCTTTTGGTGCAAAACAAAAATTTAAAATATTTTTTTTAAAAAAATGTTCTCTTTTGTGTACATAAATGTAGAAGCTAATAAATTTTGTTGATGTTTTATTTTGCATCGGTGCCAACTACTACTATTTATCAGTAATCATTACGATTTTATAGTCAAAATTTCTTAGTCTTGTAATTCAATAACTAGTATTACGGCATTTGAGAATTCCCATAATCTGTTTTAAAAAATTTATTTGAACTATCAAGTGCTATAAAATTTTGTTATTTGCAACTAATCTGCAATAATTTTTTTGTACTCCTTAAACAATTATAAAAACAATAAACAAAAGCAATGTAATAGAAATAAGAAATAAAAAAGGAAAGAAATCCATAAACTCAATTCTAAAATGCTGTGAGCAAAAAAAAATTTTTTTTGTTCAAATTTTAGCAGTTTAAATGAGTTGGTTTTAATTTAGCCAATAACTAGGACATAGTTTCCAACTTAAAAATTTAATTTTATCATTTTTCTAATGTATAAAATTTCAGTATTGTATAAATTTTAATGCCTTTGCTTTTTTTAGCACTTTTACCTAGGTGTTACTTTTTTTTTATTTAATTGTAAATTATTTATGCATATTTTTTTTACATAATATACCTGTATAAAATTAAGTTTTATATGTATCTTAAAACTGTGCTGAATTGCATTTCATAAAAATTCCCTGTACATTTCTGTTTTATTGTAATTATAGGATACTAGATACTGATCTTTACTGATAGGATAGCTAGTTTAGAAAGTTGGCAACTGTGATTTCAAAACTATATTTATATTTACAAATTTGTTATTATAATTAGGTATTTAAATTTTCAGTGGATACAAATAAGAGTGACCTGCCTTCCTCGGAAGAGCTATTTGAAATGTATGGTGGTAATACTAAAAAAAGCAAATCTCATGATCCATATGAAGAAGAACCCATTTTTGTTTCCTCCGAAAAAAAGCCATCATTTGACGTTGATTCATTCAAAAAATCACCTTCCTCCTCTGTCAAAAAAGTAGTTAAAAGCCGGTAATGATTTATTTTTATTTTACTTAGTTTTATTGAAACTATTTTGACTTATTGTTCACATTTGTGAAGCTTCTCACTTTTAAATGTAATTTTATGTGAATTAATGTTTTATATTTTAAAGCTGCAATTTTTAAACTTCACTTCAAATTTTTAGAAATTTTTTTCTAATCCATTTCAAGCTATTTGGTCTGAAGAAAAGGGAGGTAAAAGATGTTGTAGCTGATTAGACAAAATATCAGCATCTAATTTATACAAAAGAAACCTTTATTTTAATATTATGCATTAGAGTCATATTTAATTGAATAGATTCTTCCCCAAAATCGATTCTTAGTGATAAAAAGTACGTTGTCTTGTAAGTTTTCCTGTACTAATAACAGATTTTAGTAGTTTCTTTTTCCTCAAAAATTTTCATCGCTTTTTTCTTTCAAACGCATGACATTTTTCTTTGTATTAACTTTCTCTACTTGTTGTTTTTGACCTTTATTAAACGTGAAATCTTTTTTTAGCAGTTATAAGGTTTTTTAGTGCAGGGATCTACTGCTGGACTTGCGTACTACCATTAAATAAAAAATTTGGTAGAAATTAAAGTGACTTTATTTGTTTAAAAATTTCTGCTTAAAGACTAATTTTTATCTGCAATATATTATTTTATTTTATAACTGGCGTTTAACATCCTACCCATTTCTGACTAACTCTCATTGTTCAATTCTGCTGCCATGTATTTTTGAGTCCTACTCAGAAGACAACAGAACTTCTGGATCAAACATTAGGACATTCAACCTCTGTGGAGTACTTTTTGATGGATTTATATTACAGGAGAAGGAAAACCACCCACTATCAGCTCGACTATTCTAACTCATGATCTCTCTACCATTGAGGATATTTTTATACCTGTACAGTTTTAGTTAGTGCGAAGTAGGAGCAGAATCCGTATCAACCAGCCACTGCTGGGGTTCGAGTCTGGGTCATCTCATTGAGAGGAATGCTCTATCCCTTGAGCCACCATGGTTCTATAATCTGCAGGACAGGCATTAAATTTTTGTGTATCATTTTTAAAATCTATATTAAAAATGGTGATTTAAACAAATTGCATTAAGTTTTTGGCAAAACATGATAAACTCAAAATATTTAAAACTCAAGTTTAACCCACTGACGATTCTGCACATAAAAAGTCACATTTTAACCTGCAGTTTTCTAGGCATAGCAAAACCGGTTTTTACACGTTAATGGATGGGGAAATAGTGTATAGGGAAGGAACATTCTCTCAATTTTGCCCATTCGCTAAACCACCAGTGGATTAATATAATCCATAGTTAAGCTTCCCCAATGGAAAATCTTAACATAAAATTTTAAAAATTAGTCTTTGCATTATATAAAATATTGTGTTATATTGATAATTTCACATGAAATGTTCGTAAGTTAGATCTCCTACTGTATTTATTGCTAGCAATAGTTTTTTAAATTCCAATCTGAGTGTTCTGTCCAAAAATATTTCCTAATTATCGATTTCTTTCTTTCTTTTTATCCGTGTTTATGAGTTTGTATTTTAAATTAATAAATAAAATTGTGAACATTTTTAAGGTTCTTTTCACTTGGGTCTGTGCCAAGCAATAGAGAAAGTTCTTCTGGTTACTTTTCTTCTCCTTCATATACCAATAATAGCATCAATGAAGATTTTTTATCTAATTCATTAGCATCTGATTCCTCAATTCATGCCCTGGCTTCACCAGCTGAACCAGAAAGAGATGCAAATCTATTAGATCAGTCTGCTCGAAGTAATAAAGAAAATTTAATAAATAGGTATTATATTTGTTTTTTAAAAAGTAGTTTTCCATTTACATTCTTTGTTCATATATGTTTTCCCCTTATTTATATTTTTTGCTTTGGGATCAAGTTTTGCTATTTAAGGTGCAATATTTTCACATTCCAAATAAAATGTGGATGTTTTGTATTAATTATTATACATTTCTGTTCTCTTTTGGTGGGACTATATGCTCTGCCTCACACTAGACTTCAACTGGCATTGAAAATTGAACAAGTTAGTTGCTACAAGTTGCAAAATTGCAAGAAAAATTTAAACCAAGTGTAATAGCTTTTGATTTCCTTGATAACACTGTATGTTGATTTCCGTATTAAGTTGCCAAGAATGGAAGTTAAGAAGCATACTAGATAAAGCTAAAAAATAATTAAATTAAATAATAAAAAATTATTCTTTTGAAGTACCCTGCGGGATTCCTAAAAGTAACAATTTTTTTATAAAGAGGAAAATAACTTTTATTTTCCTACCTATGTTTGCTTTGTAAACCAAAAATGGATAAGATTGCAAAAAGGAAATAAAGTGAAATGATGTTCGTTTTTCTCTTTTTTGTTGTATTAGATATATTTATTTAGCATAAATTTCTACTTTTAAAAATCTTAACCTGCTACTAATAACTGATTTAAGCAGGAACCTTCAACCTATGTTTAGAAATAAGAAATAATCTAATATAATTAAAAGTGGTAAATTTTTTCTAAACTTGTTAGCCCCCATAATTTTATTTAAATACATCAAAGGCTTAATTTATTTACATTAATTGAAGGTATTTCTATATCTAGAATTTAATTTATGAAAAGAATTCTGAATTTGAAAAATAGATTTTCTTTTCATGAACTGTTTTAAAATCCATATGGAGAAGTTTGCTAAATAAATTTTCAATTAAGTTTACGGTAAAGCTCCATCTGTTTAAAAATAAAAACCCTACATATCCACTAAGTTATGAATAAAAAGGATATAAAATATTTATAAATTGCATCAAGGGTAAATTTCATATAAAAAAATTTTTGAAAATTAAAACATTACATTAAAATTTAATAAAATTGTAATATGGTAATCTTCAAAAATCAGCTAGTTCTTGTTTCGTAAACCCCTAGTTGACAGTAACTAAAAAATTCAGTAAAAATCACTGTTAGAAAATTTGCCTTTATTTTTAGTACATTGTTTTAGCAATTTTCAATACATCAAAAAATAATGTTAACACTAAATGTTCTTTTGATTTCATATTTTTAAAAGTTTGCCATTTAAACAAAAAATATTTTTAAACAATAACTGCCTTCTACATTTGCTTTTATTTTACAATAAAGCAATAGCCTTAATTAAGATCATAAGTTCATGTGTTTTTTATATGTGCCATCTTTTTAAACCTTATCTTTTATTGAATAAATGAAACTTTTTGCATCAATATTTAGGTTAGAGATAGATTGAGTTAAATATATTAATTTTTAAATTGGTAATTTATGCTTAGTCAGAAAATGTAACTATTTAACAAAAATGTTTTTTTTTTTTTCAAGGTTTGCCAAAAAGAAACCTACTGAAGTTAGTCCAGTGCTGAGTGAGGATAAAGATAAGGATATTCCAAAAACACCTAACGATAAAAAAGCATCGGTATTAGACATTTTCAGCTCAGAATCAACTATAGCCACTTCCACCATTTCATCCATGCAAAAATCTGCCAAAATATTGTCCCAAACTGCAGAAGTATCTGTAGTAAAACTAAAACCAAGGAACTTATTCTGCAAAAAGAATAAACTAATCACCACTAAAATAGAAGATTACAAATGGACGAAAGAAGAAAGCCCTCCAAAAGCAACTGAAGCTGATAAAAGTTTTCAAGAANTTCTTAAATTGTTAGTCGCGTTATAATATTTGTAGTTTATTTCCTTCATTTATCCATATTAAACACTGACTCTCAACCACTGTGCAGCCAACTTTTAGAAATGATCCAGTGAAATTTATAATGCCTTTTTCTAATTACGAGTTTGGTTTAAATTAAAGAAAACTATATATATATATATACTTTTCATAATTTTTCCACGCTTCAACCGCAAACATCTTTGTCGGTGATTGTCTGATAATCTTAAAATAAGCTGGAAGTGTTTAAATTGTCTTTGACATACAATTTTAAGAAATGTTAAAATAAGTAGGAAATTTAATGACTGTTAAAATTATTAATTAACAAAGGAAAGCAAGCTAATTATTAACTTTCAAACGGAAATAAAAGCTAATCATTGAAGTGAGCTATGCAATTAATAAGCAAATTAACAAAGGATAACAACAAAAAAACAAATTAGCAAAGGATCGTTAACAAATAATAAGCTAACAATTAATAATTAGCAAAAAAAAAAACTAGTTAACAGGAAATCACAAAAAATAACAGTTAATGCAAAAAAACTAACTGTTAATAACTATAGAAAACAAGCTAACAATTAATAACTAGAAAAAAAAATTACTGTTACTAACTAATAAAAAAATTGTCGAAAAAAATAATTAATCCATTAATAAACATGCTTTTGTAGTACATATTATTTTATTTCACATTCAAGATTATTATCACAAACTATTTTAACACAGTGTATTATTGATAAGTAAACAACTTTTAATCGAATTTTTTTCATTGTGTGTCGTCACTTTTTGAAATCGTTAAAAGTGTACTGCAACAAAAAAAAAAGGTTGAGAATCACTGCTCTAGACAGTATTCTTTAATGTGATAATACAGTGGAATCTTGTGAGACTGTTTTGTTTCTCATGAAGCCATTCACTGCGAAAGTAGGTGGGAGAAAACGATGAATGCAAGTCACATAAAACTATAATATAATGACTTGAAAGCATATAAAAAGTAGTAAAGATTAACTAAATTTAAAAATAATTAAATTTGCAAAAAGTATTTAAAATTTTAATTAAAAAATCATATACTTACTGTAAAAATATTTATGATGCAAAAGAAAGATGAATGAACTGATTTATTTATTTAAAATATAGGCAATTTTGGTTTGAAGAGACCTTTTTCTCTTTCGCACAAACAATTAGTTTTTGACATTTGTAACTGCTGTTCATTTNTATTTAAAATTTTAATTGAAAAATTATATACTTACTGTAAAAATATTTATGATGCAAAAGAAAGATGAATGAACTGATTTATTTATTTAAAATATAGACAATTTTGGTTTGAAGAGACCTTTTTTTCTTTCGCACAAACAATTAATTTTTGACATTTGTAACTGCTGTTCGTTTTCTGTATGTTTGTATGAATGCCGAAAGTTCCCAAAGCTTTGAGGCCTTCCGCAAATGTTGGCATTGGCTGTAGATCCATTTCACTGTATTTATAGATATCACTTTGCGCTTCCTCAACTTCTGCAACCATTTCTTGACTCAACAACTTCACAAGTTTTCATCAACTGATGCATTAACATCAAATGTGATGTTTGTGGCTTTCTCTCCAAACTGTAACAAATCCTCATTTTCTTCCTACTCTGTAGCATCATAAGTTACTGTTTCTACTCATAAAACCAAATAGTTTAATGTTTTTTTTCTAAGTGTCGGTAGGATTTTTGAACGATAATTGCGGGAATCATCTTATTATCATTATGGCCGCGATAGCTCAGGGGGTGGAATAGGACGTTCGCTTTCCAATGAGGTGAACCGGCTTGCACTGACCACGGTGCTGATGTGAAATATCCTCAGTAGTCGACGTATCATGGATTAGAGTCCCCTTACTGTCAAGCTAACCGTGATCTACCTCTCCTTGTAACACAAACGTGGGTTAGTTCCATCGAAAAGCTCTCCATGAAAATAAATTTCTCCCAATACTTGATCCAGGAGTTCTCTTGTCTTCTGGATTGGGTTCAAAACTACATAGTTGAACATTAGTAGTCGTAAACCCAAAAATTCGGTCGACTATTCAACACGGTTATAATATAATATTATGTTTATGAAAATAGCGTTTGTCTTGGGAATATAAAACAATCGGACACATGGGAGAAAACAAATGATGCGGGAACGATGGATTGAGGTTCAGCTGTCATAGTTTTGAAAAAATATGATTTTAGACAACTGAATGTAAGTAACAATAATTAAAATTAAAGACTAAAAATTTTAGAGTGTCAGGTTAAGGTAAAATTAAGTTGTTGTTTTTTTTAGTTTTACATAATGCATGCATTACTGGCTTCTTATTACCTGTTACTTGTTTGTTTAGGAGATAATTTGATGCTTATTGTAATAAAATATTTAAATTTGTATAAAAAAAAAAAATTTTCTGATGTCCTCAAATATTAAACTCATTTAAATGTAATAAAACACATTTTTTATAATTCATTATGTGAATTCCAATTAAAAAGTTGTTACAGATTTTATTAAAATAAAACTGCATAAATGAAAATTAAGTTAATGACCTGATACTTTGATTTTATATTATATATGATTTTATTGTATTTTTGTGGTACATCTCCAAATGAAATTTTTACGATTTTTGATTTTATTTTGTAATCAATAGTGAGCAAACATAAATGTTAAAATTAATCTTTTAACTATTTTTCTTTTTAAAATTATTTTAATTTGTTCACTATGTTATACTATTAAATGCTTTATTCAAAGACTTCCCCTGATTTATTCTTGCTTTTAGATAAACTCAGTAAATGTCGTTCAATTGGTCTTTCAAAGAAAAGAAAAAGTACTGGCACGGCAGCAAGGAAAGAATCTCTCCTAAATTTTAATTTTACTAGGTATGCTTCTTATTTTTCTTAATTTTAGTTTTGTTATTTTGATAAATGTCTACTTATAAACTATAACTTTTTTGTTTATTTTTTACAGAAAGACTGTTTCTGAAAAATAAAGATACTTATATTGTTTTTAAAATCATTTACTTGTGTGTTTTAAGGACTTTGCCTAAAATAAGGCTGGACTATATTTTCATTTTCNGTTTATTTTTTACAGAAAGACTGTTTCTGAAAAATAAAGATAAGAATATTGTTTTTAAAATCATTTACTTGTGTGTTTTAAGGACTTTGCCTAAAATAAGGCTGGACTATATTTTCATTTTCAGTGTTATTTAATTTGCATTCTGTTATTTGCTATTTCCTGAATAGAAGTTTCTATGTATTTTAATTTTTCCTTTTAGTAGAACTATTTAATTATTTTTTCCCCACTTATTTCTTTCCCAACGGCTACCCAATATTTTAAATAGTTATGTTAATAATCCGTTTACTATTCTATGAATATGTTGTTTTTATGCAAAAACTTGAATAACGAAGAGGAAAAATTATTAGCTTGAAAAATACTGATTGAAATGTTTCTTATATTGCCACTCAAAACAATTTTTCATAATCATTGTATTTCTGTCCTTATATTTTAACCAGAAACTATTAAAATTTTATTAAGTAAAAAGAAAATAAAAATTAATTGCTTTACAATCCTGTTGATAATTATGTAACTAAAGATATCCTATGTATAAATAAAATTATATGTGAAAACACCTATTATTTCTATACAAGCATAAACTTATACAGTTGGTGGATCATTATTATCCATGATTGATTTATAAAATATCTTAGTTATTTGATTGCTAAACAGTTACTCTAAAAAACATCTTCTTTTTTTTTTAAATAATTGGTAATGCCTTCATTACTTATACATTTTCTATAAATTTTTATACTATATTCCATAAAACTCAAATTGTCCATTTCAATTGAAAGATGCCAAATCTTGATTATTAATAGTGCAATTATCTTAATTGGAAACTATTCCAGGTCAGAAAGTATTAATATCAGCATAAACAAGTAAATTAATTTGAAAAAATTGCTTTTACTTAGGAGAATCAAACTATATTTTCTTATAACAAATTGATATGTCGTCTCTAACTTTTTTCCTTTTTTACTAGGTTTCATAGTACATGCTTATTTTTCATTTGCTTATAGTTTCATATATTCATTTCTACCTCATTGATGTTTTGACTTAACTTAAAATCTGGTAGCTATCTCCTGTCTTCTGTTTTTCTTTTTAAGTGACTGTAATCATCATCTAATTTAAATCATTGTAAATCTTTTTATTCCTATTTGGCAACCTGATTAATTGGAATTCCACTTTAATATGTGTGCTAGCTTTTATTGTCATTAAAATATGACTTAGTTTATAAAATCAAGCATGATATATATATGTGTGTGTATATATATATATAATACATATCAGCCAGTAGCAGTGGCTNAGCTCAAGTTTTGTGGCGCATTTGAACTCTTTTATTTGTTTTGTTTTACCTTTGATTATCAAGCTTTAGCTATATACAGATTGTGTATATATATATATATATATATATTGTAATTATTTTCTGTAGTCATATTGTCTAGTTTTGTATGTGTACTATTCATAAGAAACAAAAGTATGTTCTCCTTAGTGATGTTATTTGTATATATTTTCTCATTTTGTGTTGAATATTCTGAAGTTTAGTTTTATTACAAGATTGTGAAAAAGAAATCCTTATTAATACTTTTATATGAGTTTATTAATACTAATATGTACTTTTTTTTGTTGCAAAATTATGAATAATGAGAACAATTACAGTTTTAAAAAAATCATGCAATATAGTTTTCACTTTGATTTATCTTTCTTTTCGATTTTATATGATTCGAAAGAAAAAAATATTTTGTGATAGTAGTTTTATATTTTTCATTAAAACACTGTTAAAAAATTTATGAAAGAACATTCATAAAACAAAAAAATGCTTCCATAGAATGCTGTGCATTTGAATGTTATTCTCATTAGAAATAAAAATTTTAATAATCAATGATTATGAATAAGAAGTCTTTTCTGGGACTAAGTTTTTATGTACATATTTTTTTAAAGGAAAAAAGTTTATTTTGCATGTGCAATAAATCCTCAACCATTCTTATATATTTTTAAAATAGAAAAAGTTATAGTTCCTTGCGTTCTTTATGTTGAATCAGGCCATATTTATCTTTTTTAATTTTGAAATTATTTAGTGATTATATTTTTGTATTTCTTTTTAAAACACTTCCAAAATATTTAGGAAGGCTCATTCAAGAAGCTTAAAAGTGCACTCATGGAATGCTGTATATTTTAATTTCATTTTTACTTTTAATAAATGTATCGTAATCAGAAATCATTAAAAAAGAATTATTTCTGGTAATAGTTTTCTATATTTTAGAAAGCCCAGTTGGCATCTAATCTTTAGCTATTTTTAAATGGGTAAAGTTCAATGTTGAAACAGATTTAAGATTTTTACTATTTTCTAATTTTTTGCTTTTTTCCATGGCTGTTGGGAAACAATCATCCTTCTGAAAATGTTTTATTGTGCAGTTTTTATTTTCATAATGTGGAAAAAATCGAAAAATCTAAATCCATTGATTGGTGTCAATTATTAAAAATTAGGATTATAGGGGAACATTCATTAATTCCTGTAAATAAGTAATCACAATTAAGCTGAGGTTTTTATCTTTAGTCAGCTAAATCTTTCATGTTTATATAAATAGTTTTTTTATGTTCTATTATTATCTTATTTATATAAAATTTAACTTTACTAACATTTCATTAGTCAATCTAACAGTTTTCAAAGGCTATATTTTCTGATTTGTCAATTCAGCAATAATGTGATATATCAATCCTCGCTATAAAAATTCAAACTTTTTATAAGTTATTATTATATACAGTGAAATTTCTTTTTTAACGGCCTCCTCTAAAGAAAAGTGACATTTAAAATATATCTTAATGTTTATGGAACAGTAAGTCTCTCATAAGATTTACATTAAGTTAAAACTTTAATAAGTGATATCCACACAACATTCACTCATCATAAACTTGAAATTTTTTTCAAATTGTAGTGACAATTGCTAAACATAATTAATAAGGTAACTAATATAATACTTAAATATCTAATTTAATACTATAAACTTAATTTTTTCCTTCAATTTTTTTTTAAATCGAAAATTTAAGTAAAGAAATTATCTACAATTTTGCATAAACAAACTTTTATTTAATTTTAGAAAATTAAGTTAATAAAACTTTTCAAAAGTACTAATCGTAATTTTAAGGAAAATTCAAAAAGTTTGATATTTAATTGTTGAAACCCAGTCCTTTTCAAATAAAAGAATAAATATCCGAATTTGGAGTAAACTTTTCCATTTAGGTTAAAGTTTTGTCATTATCAGTATTTAATATTATAATATTTAACAAAGTTGACTAAGTTTTTAGAAAGTAGGAGGAACACAGAACAGTTCAAACAAGAACACAGTTCAGTGTTTATTTTATTTTCACACTTATAATAACATAAAAGCATCACTTATAAAAAAAAAGCTAAGTAATGATTCTGATATTAGATCTGCATAACTGAAAGATGATTTTAAATACATAATTGGCAAATATGTGATACAGCTATAGAAATAATAATTACAACACAAATGGTTTACATTATGCATTAGCACAACACAAAACAAAAAATTTATTGTTTTGTGCAATAGCAAAATAACAATTAATTACATTATGCATTAGCATAATATGAATGAGTTGCAATATGCACTATGTTACTATTAGAAACATTTTCCATTAATAGGCAAGTTTAGGCCGTTACTAACTTAGCAATGTAAATTAAAGTTCTGTGTTAACAGTTAAACTGTAACCTAAACTTAAACCTAAAAATCTAAAAAAAATTCTAAATATTTATGTATTAAAAAAATTAAAATTAGAAAAAGGATAATGTTTTTCAGACCAATTTATTGAAAGCTGCACAAAATGAATTTTTATTATGGTTTTTAATAGTGGATAATTTTTACTGTAGTTATAATAAAATTATCGCGATTATACCAAAGAACATTAATTCAATATTAATAATTGACAATTAATTTTCATTACATTAATTTCATTGTCATAAACTTTAATTTTATTAAAAATTAAATAAGTAGTATCTTAATTGAATAGTATCTTTAAATAAATAGTATCTTGATTGATTCGAGGAATCTGAAAACAGGTAATCTCCGTAAGAAATTCATGTTAGGTGAACTCGTGAATTAAATAATACCATTCAAAATGAAATTATTTCATTTGAATCAAAGTATTTATACTTTAAAATGCAATGAGTTCCATTTTTTGAAAAATAAATGCAAATATATATTTTTTTTGTTCATGATGACAAGATTAGGAATGTTAAACATTAAATAAACTAGAACGGATCAACTGTTCATAAATGGAAATAAAATAAAGTGATGCCCCAGATTTTCTTTGTGGAAGGTATAGTTAATTTCCACTCAGACAACTTGCAATTAATTTTCATCATGTATCTATCTTGCATTAATATCAATACTTGACTAAACATTCGAATCCATCGGTTGTCAAGCCAGTGTCTATCAACCCTTTAATTGTTTAGCTACTAAGTAAATTCCTACGAAAATGTTCTTCTGAACAAGGTTTGTCCATTGTATAATGCTGAGAAAACCAGTTTCTCTGCAGCAGTCAGTTAACACTATTCAAATTTCTTTTATAAGACTATATAATCAGGCTTTAAATATTATTTTAACGGTATTGTACTTATTTTGAAAAAGAGAGTTCATTATTCTCTATGCAAGGACATGTGCATCTTTTGTCATCATCTGCTGACACAACTCCTATTGGAAAAGCAACCAGACACTACCTCAAACTGAATTCAAAGGGTATGCTCACTTCAAAACATCTTTGCACATTTTAGTTGTTAAATTTAATTGTATACTTCTTGTTGGTTGATTGCAACATTTGTTAAATTATTTATCCCATCACGTGATCGCTGATTTGATGCTACTATGTCACTTATTATTTGAAATGGCATATATGGCCATGTTTATTCATTTTTTGTTTGCTGCTGTGTCTTGTTTTTCTATGGAAGTTTTCCTTCCTCTTCTCATATTCTCTACTAGAATGAGCTGTCACTGTGAAGGATTTTGGATCGATTTCCGGTGACAGTTTCTGGGAAGTAAAGATGGCTAGAGGAGAACAATGCCACAATTTAGCCATTGGTTTCAAAATTTTGTAGAATCTTAACATTCACAAATCCTTTTCCTGGCAACTGGCCCTTATAGGAAAAAAATGACAAAAAAGAAACAAACTTTTAATAGTTTGATCAATATTCTGTGGTAATTATAACTGAAATTGCATACACTTTTGTGCTTAAAGACTTTTTTTTTTGATGCGTACAAACTTCTAAAAATATTTAAATGCATAATTCTTAAGGAAAATGTCCCCCACGCCCTTTAAAAATTTGGCTTGCTTTAAAATGCATGTCTATTACACAATTATTACATAATGTATGAAATAGAATTATTTTGCATGAAAATGGCAGTAAGAAAATATGTACAAAAGAAATAAAACATTTAAGACTTCAACATAAATGTTCACTTTTACGCGAAGTGTTTATCTACATGAAAAATGAAGCTCCATTTCACCATCTTTCAGAATAAATAGGAACATTATCGAACATCCAGATTGCACGTTTTCTAGCACCATTTTATAACATGTCTATTTCTTTGCTTTACTTATTTGGCTGTTCCATTTTAAATGTAGAAAACGCAGGTCGAGTAAAACTGTGGACTTCGATGTAGTTGTTTGGCAACACTTGGACAGCTCTAGTCCTGTCCAATTTGCAAGATGGTTTAGGTGGTACTTTAGGGGGAGGATCACTGACATCTATTGGATGTTCATTAGTCAGCAATGGGTCGTAAAGTTTTTCTGATGGAGCACTTGGTACTACAGACTGGAAAAAAAAGAACGTCATTTTAATGGCATGTTTAAAAGTTTAACTCAAATGGAAACATACACTTGTACGATTCATTAGTAACATTACACGTATTAATTCTATTTCACAGATCTAGGAAAAAAGACATTTTTAATAGCTTTTGATTTAATGATCGTATTTTCATGTAAGGACTAGACTTACTCAAATCTTGAAGACAATCCTGCACCCGATATTAGTTACCACTTAAAAAGAAAGCAACCTTTGGTACACATATAAGTAAATATTTTACATAAATATATAGGTGTCCTCGAATCGTAAAATTCTGTCGGGAACGTTCCACTGATTTATCCTTAAATCATGTCTTAGAAATCTGGTCACCTAACTAAGACTCAATCGTAAATTAAATATGCTTATGTATGCAATCAGACCACAAAACGTATTTTCTTTGAGTTTTGAGTACATTTTGGACAGGGTTGTATTCTAGACTCTCAAAATATGGGGAGCAGCCGCAATCTTGTAAGTAAGATCCCAATAGTTATGGCAGGATCGCAGTTGAAGTGTGGGCCTCTTAAATGTCAAACTTGATGCTAAAACTGTGCAACTTATTGCGTATTTCGCCCACTCAAAAAAAGTATTTTTAAAATTTTATTTAAGAACTATTCAATCGATACCCTTCAAATATTTTCGGTGGTTAATTAATTAAATAATGATAAAAAATGAGTTTTTTTTAAACACAAGTTTCTTAACAATCTTACATTTTTTTATTAGTTTTGGAGATTTTGCAAAGAGCATAATTAGCATTAAGGAGTCAGAACTTCCGATCGCTGTACTGACTAAATTCCATTGGGACTTTTCCAGATTCCGGCTATTCGCGATCGCAACACTCGAATACGCCATCTGGGGAGAGACCGGTTTCATGCCTTTAGCCCTTCTCCCCTCCCTCTCCTCCTCTTTTCAGTTGTATAGGAATGTACTACGATATTTTCCCTTTTCTTAATATTTTTCCTTTTTATTTAATCAAAATATTTTTTAAAATTTCCATGATACTTTTCTTTAGAAATGTTTAATGCAGTTTTCAGTTTAATATAGTGTTTCAAGTTGAAAGATTTTAATCTATATGTAAATCAAGAGAGAAACTAACGTACTTCCTTCCTCTATGACTTTCCACACGCTAATGGGGAAAGCATGTAAAGTGTTGCCATAGGAAAAGAGTTCTGCTCTACGCCACCTGCAGCCCATTTCGATCGCCAATCACCATGTTTTTAAAATCAAGAATCCAAATCCATCAAGGAAAAAAATTCGGAGAATGGAAGTTATAGTTTATGATTTCGTATGTTATCGTCTGCATCAAATAAGTAACATATTCCAGACGTGCCGTTAGAACTATTAGTTGTTGTTGTTGTTGTTAATTTACGCCGCACTAGAGCTGCACAATGGGCTATTGGCGACGGTCTGGGAAACATCCCGGAGGATGATCCGAAGACATGCCATCACAATTTTGATCCTCTGCGGAGGGGATGGCACCCCCACTTCGGTAGCCCGACGACCTGCGCGCGAAGTCGAGCACTTTACGGTAGCACAGTTTAACGAGGACCAATACCGCACACCCTCGGTCCCTACGCAGACTGATCCAAGTGGTCACCCACCCGCACACTGACCGTAGCCAGTGATGCTTGACTTCGGTGAGAACTATTAGAATAATATATATACGATCGTTAAATTATGGTAGAATTGTTTGTTTCATATTCGTATAATATTTTGTAATTGCTAAGTGAAACTTTTTTTTAAATTCATCTTCCGTAATCTTTTTAATTTCTTACTATAAACTGCAAAGATGAGATAATGATAAAGCACACGATTGATTGGATAAGCTTACAAACATCGTAATTTTTTAGTAAATAAAATAAAAACATTGCATTGTGTATGGATTTGAACGTCTGTTTTTACGAACAATTTAAAATGTTTTCAAAAGTCTTAATTTGTTTTTACTATTATATTACGAGGCTGATAATTAGAATTTCCTCTATCTACTAAGCAATCAAGCAACCAATTTCTATATCAAATGTGATTAAAAAAATTACCGCAATCAATAAGACGCATCATTCTCATGATTACCGCAATCACTAATATAAAAACTTCAATTTAGCCATTTTATTGCCAACCATTCAAATCTAATCACAGATAAATCGCTGTGAAAAAAAATCAAAAGAAGAATTTAATCAAGAAAGACGAAAGCAAAACGATGAATTGAATATTAAAAATAAATATGAAAGCGAGTTCGTCTTCTGGTACATACTATGCAACATCATCATTCGACCTTCCTTTGTTGTTTAAGATGGAGATGTTGACATCTGAAAAGATGTTACTTTTTTTTTACACGCAACTGTCTTATATGGAAAGGGATTGCATAAAACTACAGAACTACGCATGTCTTCTGTAACTGTTGCATAACGTAATTTCTTATCAGACATTTTTTCTTGTTTTCATTTGCACTTCAATTAAGGTGTTCATTTAAAAAACAATGAGCTACTTATACATACTTTGCTGAAATACATAAAAATTTTGTTTCCTTGTGTAAAAGTAAAATGAATTGATATGAAGTTCGTTTTCAAATTTTGTACAATTTGTAATGTATTTGATGTAAAACAATTTGTTACTAAAAAATAATTTTTTTTTTATTAAATAAATTTTTACAGAAAGGAAAAGAACACAATTTTTAAGAAAAAGATTTTGTTTTAAAGTTTTGTCGTTTGTTTTGCGTAAAATTGAACGATTCTCGAATATATAATAAATTTCTAGAAATAAATAAATAAAATCAGTTCAATGCCAAACTATAATTTCTAGCGATTTGCTGTAACAGCAATAAGGAACTAAATTGAATAATATTTCTATTTGAGTCATAATATCGTTGAATGTCGTTGCTTAATTTGCTCTATAATATGGTTATATTTGACAAGAAATTTGTCACTGCGCAAAATTTTTAATAGTGTGAATGGGGGATATGTCAGCTGAATGCAGGGATTCTGCTCATCCAAGAAAGGATCGGGGAAAAAAACATAATAATAACCATTAGTTTGATTTGTAATCACAACGAATTATATCACAGGCAAAAGATAGATACCAAATTTGTTTTCCTTCCTCAATGGCATGACAGCCAATCGTAGGTCCTCCCCTTCTTCAGAATTTTTAACCACGTTACACATCTTTTGCCTTGTAAATTTGTTTTTATAACAAAAATTTAAGTAATAAAAAGAAAGAAACATGTCAGTAAACTTACATTATTATATGGCATCGCGTTCGATTTTTCTGAAGATTTCGCTCCGAAAAGTGCCTCCTGTATGAGATGCGGCGGAAGTTCTAAAGTTAGATCAGGTCCCCATTTCGACGTACTTGAAGATGCGCATGCCCACATAGCAAGAACCAACACCAAACATGCAACTGTTAACCTGTAACATACATGAAAATTAACATTCATCCAATTATGTCAGACGTATTATTTTTTGTTATAAAGATTAATTGAAGAATTGGTGTGAGACTAGTGAATATTTATTAAACTATTTAAAACTTGCCATACACAGAAAATTAAAGATATGCGTTTCGTGATGGACTATCTTCCCTTCTTGCAGTTAAAAATGTTAGTTCCAGTTGTATAAAGACAGGAGCCACATTCATTAAGGAAGATGGGAATACTATTTAAAAAGTTGGAAGTATTTTTCCAGAAAAATATAGTTTTAGTTTTCTGGGTATGATGAAAGAAGTTTTAATAAATATTCATATAAACATTAATTTGTTTGCTTTGTATCTTCTTTCATTTTTACTTTTGTGTCAGGTATAGTTAGTAGCATCTCTTTCAATTTTGTTATTTTAAATAAGTAATAACGTTAGTTATTAAATCATAATTTTCTATTTTTTTTTCCTATCTCGAGTTTTGTGCCATTAATCCTAAACTAAATGATTTCTAGCAAAAAGTATTTTTATCTCTAGTTTTGTGCCATTAATCCTAAACTAAATTATTTCTAGCAGTATTTTTATTTCGAGTTGTGTGCCATTAATCCTAAACTAAATTATTTCTACCAGTATTTTTATCTCGAGTTCTGTGCCATTAATCCTAAACTAAATGATTTCTAGCAAAAAGTATTTTTATCTCGAGTTTTGTGCCATTAATCCTGAACTAAATGATTTCTAGCAGTATTTTTATCTCGAGTTTTGTGCCATTAATCCTAAACTAAATGATTTCTAACATAAAAGAATTTTAAAATTTGTTTAACAAAAATACAAAACAAGCATTTATGTCAAACATAATAAAGTGAAGCAGAAAATGGCGCCTAAATGACTGCGCTACACAACTTCCAGGTACAATATTCCATCTTATTTACAAAACTTAATTAAACGGTATTTTACGAATGCTATAAAAATCGAATAAAATCTGACGTTTCGGAAGCCATTGTGAAATATCGTACAATAAATACTTTTCAAGAAAAACAGGATGATGATTTGACAGGTTACTGCTAAAAACTCATATGTTTTGCTTCCGTTTATTGTTCGCAACGTAGCAGCTGCGATTTCTCTTAATATTCGGACAAAAGTTTGTAGCTAATAGGGCTTGTTATTTCGAGAAAATAAAGCGCAGTTACTTTAGGAAATAAAATAGCTACACCAAGAAAACAATATTATTATGTATTTTCATGAAACATAAAAAGAAATCAATTTAATGTTATAAATAATATCGGTAACCTTGAACTGAAATGTCGTGGAAACGCTGCAAACTTAATAAGATATTAAAATTGAATCCCAATTTTTTCCGTTTAGTTGAACAATAGAATCGTAAATCCAAGTTAAGGCTATGTTGTCACATGAAATAACTTTTTTTATGGTATTTTTATAATTGTTATGAGTTTATGACAGTTATTTAAGACTGACAGATATATTTTGCCTATTTTTAGTCAGCACCATTGTACTAATTAGGAAAATGGCGCATGTCAACAAGAAGAAAAATCCCATTTTTTTTTTTTTTATTAAAAGTATTTGTGATCTAATTTTTTAATATTTGATAATTAACTCCACCAAATAAGAGATTCTTAAATATGATATATTAAATTAAATTATAGCTTTTTGTCATGTTTAAGACACTAAAACCCTTGCTGTTTTTTTTCTTTTCCTTGGCTGAAAAGTTTCAAAAAACACCCTTAAAGAAAAGTTCTTTTGAACAATAATATTGTTCAACAATAGAGTTCAAAGCGTTCAGAAATTTCGAACATTATACAAAGATTTATTTTTGTTATTCACATTTCATAGTATATATTTCACGAGAATTCATAAGCTATTTATATTCATAAGCTCATAACGTTTAATAATCGCTTTATGTTGCCTTATATTCTTAACAAATACTTCTTACGAATAAAAAATTATTGTGTATGCTTATAGTTATTACGAATACGAAAATAGTTGTTATCAGCGAAAAGTTCGAAAATGCAAAATATTGAATAAACATTTTGTACCTTAAGATAAGATTATAAATCAAATATAATGAAATGATAATTTTTAAGCCGTGTTATTAGCCATCAAAATGCGTTCAAAAATGTTAATGAAATAAATAATGGATAAATCTGAGGGAAAATACAAATCATAAAATTACAGCTAAGGTAAACTTGAAATATTTAAATATATAACAAACATATTTGAGAAAATCATCACCTAAAAACCGTTTATTCGGTAAAATTTACTCTCAGTTTCGTATTTTTCACTAAATGTGAGGTAATAAGAACTATAATTTTGAAATTATTATGAACGGAAAAATTACGTAATAATTAGTTAAAATACCACATATTTTGGATTTTATTGCTAGAATTATGGTTTTTCACTGCTAGGTAAGTTAATCTTATTTTAATATCTCAATTTAAATTAGTCATAACTAANGTATATATATATATATATATATTGTAATTATTTTCTGTAGTCATATTGTCTAGTTTTGTATGTGTACTATTCATAAGAAACAAAAGTATGTTCTCCTTAGTGATGTTATTTGTATATATTTTCTCATTTTGTGTTGAATATTCTGAAGTTTAGTTTTATTACAAGATTGTGAAAAAGAAATCCTTATTAATACTTTTATATGAGTTTATTAATACTAATATGTACTTTTTTTTGTTGCAAAATTATGAATAATGAGAACAATTACAGTTTTAAAAAAATCATGCAATATAGTTTTCACTTTGATTTATCTTTCTTTTCGATTTTATATGATTCGAAAGAAAAAAATATTTTGTGATAGTAGTTTTATATTTTTCATTAAAACACTGTTAAAAAATTTATGAAAGAACATTCATAAAACAAAAAAATGCTTCCATAGAATGCTGTGCATTTGAATGTTATTCTCATTAGAAATAAAAATTTTAATTAGCAATGATTATGAATAAGAAGTCTTTTCTGGGACTAAGTTTTTATGTACATATTTTTTTAAAGGAAAAAAGTTTATTTTGCATGTGCAATAAATCCTCAACCATTCTTATATATTTTTAAAATAGAAAAAGTTATAGTTCCTTGCGTTCTTTATGTTGAATCAGGCCATATTTATCTTTTTTAATTTTGAAATTATTTAGTGATTATATTTTTGTATTTCTTTTTAAAACACTTCCAAAATATTTAGGAAGGCTCATTCAAGAAGCTTAAAAGTGCACTCATGGAATGCTGTATATTTTAATTTCATTTTTACTTTTAATAAATGTATCGTAATCAGAAATCATTAAAAAAGAATTATTTCTGGTAATAGTTTTCTATATTTTAGAAAGCCCAGTTGGCATCTAATCTTTAGCTATTTTTAAATGGGTAAAGTTCAATGTTGAAACAGATTTAAGATTTTTACTATTTTCTAATTTTTTGCTTTTTTCCATGGCTGTTGGGAAACAATCATCCTTCTGAAAATGTTTTATTGTGCAGTTTTTATTTTCATAATGTGGAAAAAATCGAAAAATCTAAATCCATTGATTTGTGTCAATTATTAAAAATTAGGATTATAGGGGAACATTCATTAATTTCTGTAAATAAAGAATCACAATTAAGTTGAGGTTTTTGTCTTTAGTCAGCTAAATCTTTCATGTTCATATAAATAGTTTTTTTATGTTCTATTATTATCTTATTAAATTAAAATTTAACGTTATCAAAATTTCATTAGTCAATCTAACATTTTTCAAAGGCTATATTTTCTAATTTGTCTATTATCAATAATGTAATATATCAATCCTCCCTCGAAAAATTCAAACTTTTTATAAGTTATTATGATATACGGTGAAATTTCTTTTTTAATGGCTACCTCTAAAGAAAAGACATTTAAAATATAGCTTAACATTTGTGGAACAGTAAGTCTCTCATAGGATTTACATTAAGTTAAAACTTTTAACAGCCATATCCACTCATTACAAACTTAAAATTTTATTTCAAGTTGAAGTGATAATTACTAAAAATAATTAAAGTGCTAATATAATGCTTAAATATCCAATTTATTATTTTAAGTTTTTCCTTAAACTTTTTTTAAATCAAAAATTTGAAGAAAATATTATCTGAAATTTTGTATAAACAATTTTTTATTTAATTCTAAAAACTTAAATTAATAAATCTTATGAAAAATGCTAATTGTAATTTTAAAGAAAATTCAAAATGTTTGATGTTTAATTGTTGAATCCCCGTCATTTTCAAATAAAAAAAATAAATATCCCAATTTGGTGTAAACTTTTCCATTTAGGTTGAAGTTTTGTCATTATCAGTTTTTAATATTATAATATTTAACAAAGTTGACTAAAGTTTTTAGAAAGGCAGAACACAATTCAGTGTTTATTTTATTTTCACACTTTTAATAACATAAAAGCATCACTTATAAAAAAAAAAAAGCTAATTAATAATTCTGATATTAGATCTGCATAACTGAAAGATGATTTTAAATACATAATTGGCAAATATGTGATACAGCTTTAGAAATAATCATTACAACACAAATGGTTTACATTATGCATTAGCACAAAACAAAGAATTTATTGTTTTGTGCAATAGCAAAATAACAATTAATTACATTAGCATAATATGAATCAGTAGCAATATGCACTATGTCACTATATGTGTGTTACTATTACAAACATTTTCCATTAATAGGCAAGTTTAGGCCGTTACTAACTTAGCAATGTAAGTTAAAGTTCTGTGTTAACAGTTAAACTGTAACCTAAACTTAAACCTAAAAATCTAAAAAAAATTCTAAATATTTATGTATTAAAAAAATTAAAATTAGAAAAAGGATAATGTTTTTCAGACCAATTTATTGAAAGCTGCACAAAATGAATTTTTATTATGGTTTTTAATAGTGGATAATTTTTACTGTAGTTATAATAAAATTATCGCGATTATACCAAAGAACATTAATTCAATATTAATAATTGACAATTAATTTTCATTACATTAATTTCATTGTCATAAAC